TGGGGGGGTCCTTTGGGGGGTGGGTGATGCCCTGGGGGTGTCCATGAGCAGCAGGAGGAGTGGGATGAGCTCCTCTCCAGCAAAGCCACCCTGCTGGGAATCAGGGAATCATGGAATGGGTTGGGAGGGACCTTAAAGGTCGTTTCTTCCACACCCTGACACCTTCCACCAGACCAAGCCAAGGGGGGACACAGGAGACCCCTGACCCGCTGGGATCCTCCAGGATTCTCTGGGATTCTCTGGGATCCTCTGGGATCTGCCAGAACCAGCCACAGTTGGTGGGACAAACCCAACAAGGAGTAAAACACCTTGTCACAGCCCTGAGCTGGGGTTGGCACTTCATTTATTTTATTTATGGGCCTTGCTGTGCTTTAGTTTGTGGGTTTTGCAGCAACTTCTTAGAATCCTGGAATGGTTTGGGCTGGAAGGGACCTTAAAGATCATCCAGTGGACACCTTCCACCAGACCAGGTTACTCCAAGCCAAGGGGGGACACAGGAGCCCCCTGACCCACTGGGATCGTCTGGGATCTGCCAGGACTGGCCACATCTGGTGGGACAAACCCAGCAAGGAGTAAAACACCTTCTTGTCACAGCCCTAAGCTGGGGTTGGAGTTTTATTTATTTTATTTATGAGTCTTGCTGTGCTTTAGTTGGTGGGTTTTGCACCAATTTCATGGAATCCTGGAATGGTTTGGGCTGGAAGGGACCTTGAAGCTCATCGAGCCCTGGACAGGGACACCTTCTGCTCTCCCAGGCCGCTCCACCCTGGCCTTGGGCACGTCCAGGGATGGGACATCCCTGGAATAACCTGTGCCAGGGGCCTCCCCAGCCTCCCAGGGGAGGATTCCCTCCTCCCATCCAATCTAAACCTGATTTCCTTTGGTTTCCTTGGCCCAAAGCCCCTTTGTCTGAGGGGTCTCTGGGGACTCCAGGAGGGGTGGGAGTGTCTGTGCTGGGCTCTCCTCACCCCCCTGGGCAGCAGGGCTGGTTACCCCCGGTGGAATAACCTGGGAATCCCTCCTGTTGGAAGGGGATCCCGGTGCCATGGGATTGGTCTGTGCCT